CTTCATCCCAGGCCTACCGACTCAGGGGGTGGTACCCAGAAATCTGTGTTTATCAACCTCCCCCCCCCCGCCACAGGTGATCCTGATGCTTGTTGAAGGGGGAGAACCCCTGCCCTAGACAATGTCCAGCCTCATCAGCTGGGTGTCCAGGGCCTTTAGGGTCTGGCATCAGCCCTGCCTGCTGCGTGGCAGCATCTCTGCCGTTGACTCCAACCAGACTCGGGGGTAGCTTCTGCACTGGCATTTACTCTGTGTCCTTGGGCGAGATCCTCCACCTCATGGTGCCTTGCCTTTCTGCCTGTGCAACTACACACAGGAGTGTTGAGACTTGAAATGGGATGGCCGCAGAAGGTGGCTGGCTCAGGGCCTGGGGTAGAGCAATTCAATGACTGCTACTCATTGAGCAACTACTATGTGCCAGGCACTGTTTTAGGCATTTGGGGATAAGTTGATGACCAAACAGATAAAGCTCCCTGCCCTCAGGGAGCTTATGTTCTACCTGGGGAAATACAGACCACAAACAAAAAAAACCCACCATAGATCAGGGTGGTCAGGGAAAGAGACACTTGAGCAGAGACATCAGGGAAGGGCGTCCCTAACGAGCAGACACAGAGCCAGAGCAGAGGCCCTCAGCTTACGGGAGCAGAGGGCGCGAGGGGAGCATGGCACAGAGGGGGTCGGAAAGGGCACAGGCCCGGACCTCGTGGGTGGCCCAAATTAGAACTAAGGCTTTTCTTTGAGTGCAAGGGGACTCCGTGGGAATTTAATTTCAGACTTATACAAGCAGACCTTGTTTTACCGCACTCTGCTTTATTGTGCTTCCCAGACATTGCATTTTTTACAACCTGTGGCGAGCAAGTCTATTGGTCCCATTTTTCTGACAGCATCTGCTCACTTCCTGTCCCTGTGTCACAGTTTGGTAACTCTCGAAATATTTCAGACTTTTTCATTGTTATTATATTTGCTATGGTGACCTGTGATCAGTGATATGTGACGTCACATTGCAAAAAATTACGACTTGCTGGAGGCTCGCATGAGCGTTAGTATTTTTCAGCAATAAAGAACTTTTTTTGTTTGTTTGTTTTTTGCGGTACGCGGGCCTCTCACTGCTGTGGCCCCTCCCATTGCAGAGCACAGGCTCCGGACGCGCAGGCTCAGCGGTCATGGCTCACAGGCCCAGCTGCTCCGCGGCACGTGGGATCCTCCCGGACCGGGGCACGAACCCGTGTCCCCTGCATCGGCAGGCGGACTCCCAACCACTGCACCACCAGGGAAGCCCTGTAGGTATTTTTGAGGCAGAAAAGTCAAGGGCGCAGCTGGGGGGGTTAGGGGAGGGTGCCCCTGGGAAGACACGAGACATTCTCTATTTTTCAGTAGCTGGGGATGCTCAGAGAATGACTGTAGTTGGGTTTAAAAACAATGTCTGGCAGACCCTTTGGGGTTTTCTGATTCTCTAGGGGGCTGTGCCCTTCACGGTCTTTGAGCGAGCTATTTTACATCTCTGTAAGTGGTAGAAAACTGACAGTAAAGCAAATGACTCTTGTCCACATTGATGCAAGTGAATTTTGCTGTGGCGACTCAGTTGATTTCTGTCATGTGGAAGGCGGGATTTGCATCCACTAACAAATTCATGGCAGTGTCCCTGGTTACTGATTCAAGTCTGTTCCTTGGATTCTCCTGGAACCTCTTGTGATAGCTTCTTTGTTCCCTCATGATTAATGAACTAAATCATATCTTTGACACAGGTTCATTTTGTATTTGTATGACAGTCACGATTTTGCCTTTTTAAAAAAATGATCCTTTAACAATTGTTTAATTTGAAAATGATAGCTAGTGTAGTCTGTGGTGAGTAAGCAATGGGCGTGGGGATGGATAGAGAGCAAAGAGAGAATGTTTGCTTTCCAAGGGATAAAACCCATCCAAACTAGTCCAGCTAACGTTGAGTTTTACTAGAAAGATCCAGAGTCTTCTTATGGAACCAAAGGGTAGGCAGAATGGTCAGGCCTCATCTAAACTGGGAAGGGGGTAGGGGACTAAGTTTGGCTGCATATAACTGAAATAAAATATATGAGAAATATAAAAGAAGTATAGAATTCAGAAACTCAGGGCTAGTATGACAGCTTCTCAGTGTCATAAAAGACTCAGATTCTTATTTTTCTGCCCTGTCATCCTCAGCATGCTTCCATCCTCAGAGTCACCTTTGTGCCTCATATGATTGCTGAAGCTCCAGCCATCACTTCTGTACTCCAGGCACCAGGAATGAGGAAAGGAAGAATGACTCCCTTTTAAGAAAACCTCCAGCTAGATTGGCTACACAAGATTTTAATTGGCCAGAACTTAGTCAATGGCCATACTTAAATGCAAAGGAGGCTGGGAAATGAGGCTGCTTACAGCAAAATTAGAAACTCACAGTGTGGTGTGTAGATGTATTTTGACTGGGCTTGACAATTCTGAATGCTTAGAAACATGATCAGACGTTTAAATAAGGTTTAACATTTCTGGCCTCTCTTAAAAAAAGAAAAACTCAGAAGGTCTGACAGCCCCGGGCTTTTCTTAAAGCCCAGCTTGCCCCACCCCTTCAGGTTGTTTGCAGGGCTCATGCCTTTGAACTCCAGCCTTTCCAAGGGAGGAGCTGATGGTCCCAGATCGCCTGGAATAATATCCACTCCTGGCCCAGTCGTGCTGGCCACTGGGAGAAGGGGTTGGCGGCCAAGGGGCAGTTCTCCAGATCGGGCTGTGGGGCAGCCTGTCTGTTAAGAGATGAGAGTTCATCTGCGTCAGCACCCTGGGGAGTCTTGCAGGACAGGGCCAGCTGTCAGAGCCTTCAGCTAGCTACCCCTGTCTGAGCACCTACTGGATGCCACATCCATTGGACTCCAAACCCGGTTTTACTAGAGTTTCTCAAAGTGTGGCACAGAGACCTGCCTCTGGCATCGGCATCCCCTGGAGAGCCTGTTGAAACCGTTGACTCCTAGGCTGCGTTCCAGAACTGCGGAATCAAACTGTCTATGTGGGGGCCAAGGACTCTGCATTTCAGCAGCCTCCCCAGGGAATTCTGACACTGCAGTTTGGGAGTGACAGCATCATGTCAGTCAGCCCTGCCGTTCGGAGCGGGGCCAGGGGTCTGTCCAGGGAAGGCAGGGAGTCAGTAGAAGCTCTTCTATCAGGAGGCTGCTGGCCCTTGCAGGGCTCTCTATCAAAGGCACTTTGAGGCCACCAGGACATCTTCCACCCTCACGGCTAACCCTGGGCTGCCTGGAGGGTTCTTCTCTTAATTGTCTGTTTCACTGAGGAGCGGGGAGGGAGAGGGACAGACGGGAAGCCTAGAGAAGAGAATGGTCACATCAGGTTCCCCTCCTCCCTCCACCCTGGGCCCGGCTCACTCTTTGAGGCTGTTTCCTCCCCTTTATGTGGGCAATCATTAGTGTAATGGCGGATAGCTGTTTCATGCTATCTAAATGCTATCAGTTTTTACTTACCTATCCACCCCTTCTGCTAACATCACTTTCCTTTCCTGCGGGAGACTTCCCCATGCGCAGTGTACCAGGATGGGTCAGTGAGAGCCCGAGTTAGAACTTGAGTGGAAACCACGGGGAAGAAGGACATTCCCCTCCCTGGCTGGGAACTGTGGGGATGTAGGCTGTGCCAACTTGTCCCCTCAAAGGGCAGTTCTGCCTTGGAAGGAAGCCAGAGTGAGGGAAAGCAGGGCTGAGAGAAGAGAGGCCAAGAAAGCATCAGATGACATCCTGTAAGCCCCTGCCTCAAAGCTAGGCCCACTTCAGTATTAATGTGCCAGTGGATTCCTGTTTTCTGCTAAAGTTCACTCGAGTTGGTTTTCTATTGCCGAGGGAGTGACAGAAGGCCCCAGTAGCTACCAAATCTGATAACCTGTGTTTGCTGTTAAGTATTGCATGGCTGCTATGCAGTCAGTGCTTGGGCACTGTTTTGGATCTTCTTTGGCTTCTTATAATTTGTGCTAGATATTTGTTCTTTTTCCCTTTATTATTTCACTCCTTACTGCTTGACCCATGGTAACAGCTGGTAGAGTTAAATGTGTATGCAGGAAAAAGCTTTCATGTAAGTGACAACTCTTTCCCAATTGGCTGCCTGGAGGGCTGGGTTAAGAAATCAGTGGGAAACAATGCAGGGCTTGATTAGCAATGTCTGCCATGGGAGCTGCAATCTAGCGTGGGTGTGCATATTATATTCTTGCCAGTGTGAATTATTCTTTTATTGGTGTTAATTGTTCCAAATCAATAAAAGGGAATTTTAGTGGCTGTGTGCTCCATGATTTCCCAAGTTGGGGCCACTTCTCAACCCAATTCAGAAATTGGAGGATGGGAAGATTTGTGGCCAGAGGTGAGTGAGGGAATTTGCAAAGGACTTGGGGCGGTGGCCAGAAGCCACATTTAGTGCCTGCCACCTGCTGGGTGATGCTGAGCAATCACTTTCCCTCCCTCAGCACCAGTGACTGAATCTGCAGTGAGAGGGATTTGAACCAGGAAGACTGGAGGAGGCCCTGTGACTTGTGTGCAAGAGGCATTGCCTGTGCTGTCCTGCCTCTGGTCTTAATGCTCTGGTGACATTGACCTATGTGTCATTCTCCGAACAAATTGTTTTGTCTCTGTCCCTTTGAGGACGTTTGTCTCCCTGTGAGATGCCACCCTCACGCACTCCTCATAATTCCTCAGCACCCTGCTCAAATATCCCCTCTTCCTCCTCGGACAGAAAGGCTCAGAGCCTCTACTTGGCTTGTTGTTTGTGCTGTGAGCTGCAGGCAGGTACAGGTCGGATTCAGCTTGTGCCCCAGAGCTTGGCCTGTGACCTGGCACAGAGCAAGTGTTCAGACAAGCTTTGTTGAACTCATTAGTAAATGACCGCTTTTCAGAGGCATGAGGCTGCCGAGAAATTGAGAGAAAGGCAAAAATTCCAAGAAGTCTTTTTTGTATTTTTTCTCTGTATTTTTTTCCCCGCCCTCCCCTCCCTTCTTTCATCTCCCTTAAAATTTCCAAGAAGAAAGGGCTTGTGAGATCCCTGTCACCACCTTTGGAGGGGAAACCCCTGACTCATGGGACTGGCCTGGGCTGGCAGGGCTAGACAGGGTGGGAAGGCTCTGAGATTCCTGGTCTGCTCTGACCTCCAAAGGCTGTGCAGCCAGGACTCTCCAAAGACTCAATTAGAGCCACTGTTTACATGCTAAAGCCTGTTTCTCTCTGAACTGCCTGCAAATTGGACTGAATGTGCTAAATACATAATGAATCTGCTAAACTGTTTAATGCACTTCCAGTACTTATTGATTTCCTCGTTGATGACATATAATTTGCCGAACTGATTTGGCTGTGTGACTTGAAAGACATTTGGGAGAGATCTCTGCAATTTGTCGCTCAGCTCGCCCTGGACTTTAAAATGAATACAGAATGATACATTAAAAGAAATCTCGGGGCTGCGATCCCAATTGCCTTCAGCTGATGGTGCCACATTCAGTGCAGCAATTTTTTAAACTGAGTTCTGATGATATGCCAGGCCCTGTGTGAGCTGCTGGGGTTTCACTGATGAATAGGAGTGCGTTTCTGACCTTGGTGTGCTTACAGTCTATGGGGTGGGGGGTTGGGGGGGGTAGATGGATAGGCCCACAGGTGCTTACCATTCAGAGAGTGGGAGCACAGAGGAGGAGCATATAAACTCATTTGTGAAGGTCAAGGAAATCTTCGGAGAGAATTTGACCTCTGACCTATCTCTTGAAAGATGTGCAGGAGTTTCCAGGCAGGCCAGGTGGAGAAGACGGCCGCTGCTCTTGCCTTCCCAGCTTCCTTCCTCCCTTCACTGAAGACAGCATGCAGGTTTTCTCTGAGAAATCGCCTCCTGCATTCCATATCCCATGAGGTACTAGAGAAACCAGGTGTACCCCACCTCCATCCCACAGCCAAGATATGGGTCCTTCAGACCTTATTCCTGGGACTCTCCATTTGCCAAGGTGTCTTAAAGGGACAGAAGGCAGCTGGAACCAAGACATCCCAAGATGGTCCTTGAATTTCTGCTGTTGAGATTCAGCCCTGTCTGGATTATTTCCTTCTTGAATCTCAGTCTCTGAGATGCTCAGTAGCCAGGGTTGATTTCTGTGGCTCATAATCAAAAGGCCCTGAGTGACACACTAGGTGTCAAGGGACTTCCCCTCCTTCACTCACTCTGGGGAAGAATTGCTCCTTCCCTTCTGGTGAGACCATGAGCCCACAGCTATGCCTCTATCAGGGCCACGCGCCCATGACTCACATTTATATCTCCATCCTTGTGTTCTCCACTGAGCTGGGAATTTGTATATCCAACTGCTCTACTAACACGGTCACTCGGATACCTAATACACATCCAGAACATCAATCCCTCAATCCCCACTCCCCTTGCCCCCCAAACAATCACCTCCTCCCCATCTAAGTAAATGACATCACTATCCACCTCTGAGCTCAAGCTAGTTGTTATCTGTCTACTTGGTTCTCTACCTGCCCAATCCCATCCACCTGCCAGTCCTGTTGGTTCTACTCTCCTTCCCCTACAAGTTCCATTTTGAACGCATCGTTTTCTTTCTTTCTTTCTTTTAAATTAATTAATTTATTTATTTTTGGCTGCGTTGGGTCTTCGTTGCTGCATGCAGGCTTTCTCTAGTTGCGGTGCACGGGCTTCTCATTGTGGTGGCTTCTCTTGATGCGGAGCATGGGCTCGAGGTGCGCGGGCCCTCGAGGTGCATAGTTGTGGCGCACGGTCTTAGTTGCTCCGTGGCATGTGGGACCTGCCCGGACCAGGGCTCGAACCTGTGTCCCCTGCAATAGCAGGCAGATTCTTAACCACTGTGCCACCAGGGAAACCCCCTTTTCTTTCTATGTTGACTCCACACCCCTAGACAAAGTCACCCTCTCTCCTGGATCCTGTATTAGTTTCTTAAATCCAATCTTAGACTCCTCAATCCTATATGCCCCTCTGCTTAAAACCCTTCCAAGTCACCTTATTGCAGTTGAGATACAATTCACATTTCCCACTGTGGTCTTCTGGCACATCCTGCCCCATATAGCCCTTTCCCACATTCCTGTCCTCACGTCCTACGCCTCTTCCCTTGTATCCAACCCTCAGCTGACCAGCCTACCTGTTCCTGGCTCTCTATCTGGGTGTGCTTCTCCCCCATCTTTACCTGGTGGCGCCTCCTCATCGTTTTGCATCAGGGTCTCCACTCAAAGGTCTTCTCCTTAGTGAAGTCCATGTTGATCACGCCAGGCACCTCTCTCCCCCACTCCAAGCAGATCTATCCAGTTTTGTTGTTCTCATCGCACATATTGCTGTCAGACATTGTCGGGTTCCTTTGTTCTCTTGTGAGGTGTCTGTCTTCCTCACTGGAATGAGGGCTCCAGCAGAGCAAGCGCTTGTCTCTTTGGCTACTGCTGCATTGCTGCAACTCTGCACATAGAGTGTGCTTAAATATCTGTGTTGTGCAAACACATGAGTGAGTGAATGGACAAAAGAATTGAATAACACATATCTGAGTGTTTTGCACGTGCCTTCTCTCCTGCTACTCTGAGCTCCTTGAGGACAAGTACTGGGTCTGTTTTTAATCTCAGTATCCCCAGCACCCTCTAGATAGCTGGCACACAGTAGGTATTCAATGAATGTGTGTTAAAAGGATGCAGAAGTAAATGGCATTTGTAGCAGAGGGAACAGGATAGGGAAAAATGCAGAAGCTTAATTTATATTAAGCAGATTTACATACTCTGTTCTTGGAGAAGCAGTGAGCACAGCTATTTATGGTACAGGAGTGTGCATGTACACACGTGCAGTATTTCGGGGAATAGGTGAGGCAATGGAATTCCATCTGATAAAAGCTTTAACGTGAACCCTCCCCTCCCATCTAAAGCAGTCCAATAGAAATGATTTCCAAGGATCAGAGTTCCCAGGGAAAAAAGATAGGAGTCAGGAATTCCCCTGTGAAGGGAAGTGGGGGGAGGGATGTTGAGACTTTGAGAACCATCCAGACTTCGTAAGATTGCGGGGTGAAAGGGGTTTGATATTCTTCTAGACCAGAAGTTCTCAAACGTTAGCAAACATTAGAATGGAGATTTTTTTTTTTTGGTAATAGCTAAATTTCTTTCTTTCTTTTCTTTTCTCTCTTTCTTTCTTTCATTGAAGTATAGTTGATTTACAATGTTGTGTTACTTTCAGGTGATTCAGCTATACATATATACACACATATATATAAGATTCTTTTCCATTATAGGTTATTGCAAGATATTAAATATAGTTCCCTGTGCCATACAGTATGTCCTTGTTGCTTGTCTATTTTATATATGGTAGTGTGCATCTGTTAATCCCAAACTTCTAATTTATCCCTCCCTGACTTTGGCAAGCATAAGTTTGTTTTCTATGTCTGTGAGTCTATTTCTGTTTTGTAAATAAGTTCATTTGTATCATTTTTTTTAGATTACACATATGATTGATATCATATGATATTTGTCTTTCTCTGTTAGACTAACTTCACTCAGTATTATAATCTCTAGGTCCAACCATGTTGCTGCAAATGGCATTATTTCATCTTTTTATATATATACAATAGAATATTACTCAGCCATGTAGATAGGTAGATAGACAGACAGTTAGATACCATATCTTCCTTATCCCTAGAATAGAGATCTTGAGAAAGGGGAAGATTCCTGGGGCCCATCCCCAGAGATTCTGGTTCTGTAGGTCTGGGCTAAAGTTTTGATCTGTGAATCTATATTTTGATAATCACCCCCTGGTGACTTTGACATAGGTAAGTCATCAACCCCCAGACTGGAGAAATCCTGAACTGAAGCAAACCCTATCTGTTGTCTTGAATCCTCTCTGTAACATCCCCTCTGAATGCCCTTCTTTCTGCCTGTGATACCCTGTGATGGAAACTCACTGTCTTTGGACATCTAAGACTGTTAGGAAGTTTTATTCTGTGTGCATGTCTGCGTGTAAAGAATGCCATTTGAAGCAGAAGGTACAACATATACAAAGGCTTTTAAGAAGAAGGAAAATTGGGCTTCCCTGGTGGCGCAGTGGTTGAGAGTCCGCCTGCCGATGCAGGGGACACGGGTTCGTGCCCCGGTCCGGGAGGATCCCACATGCTGCAGAGCGGCTGGGCCCGTGAGCCATGGCCGCTGAGCCTGCGCGTCGGAGCCTGTGCTCCGCAACGGGAGAGGTCACAACAGTGAGGGGCCTGCGTACAACAAAAAAAAAAAAAGAAGAAGGAAAATTGCTGGTTTGTTGCTGAAGGGTGAGTGGTGTAAAGCAGACGGAACATTGGATGACAGGGAGAAGTGCAGAGCCTGGAAGCTGGAATTGCAGATTGGGACCTGCTAAAGAGTTTTTAGCAGAGAACATCTTACCTAAACCAGCACAGATGGGGTATGGTGGGCATGACTTGATCTGGTACCCAGTTTCTTTCTCTCCCCTTCTCTTGGCTATGCTTTATTACCAGGCCTCATATCATAAGAAGGCTACAGCAGTTCCAGCTCTTCCACCTTCTCTCCAATTCCTCTCTAGGCAGGAAGAGCCACAGCATATTTCTTAAGTTCACAGAAATGGGCTAAGGGCATCTCATTGGCTCTAAGTTGATCAGGTGTCCATCTCTGACCTAATCACCATGATTAAGGGAATATGACATTCTGATTGGCCTGGCTTAAGTCACATGTCTATGGAAGGGGTGGAGTCAACTCTACTGGAAACAAAGTGATTGCCTGTGGAGGATGGGTGGTCCCCCAGAAGGAGATGTGATGAGTCAATTTAGAATGATTTATTCAATGAGTACAGAGAACTGCTCTACTCTTAGCAGTGTGTTGGGTGGAGAAGTGTGTTTCCCCTCTGTTGCTCAGGGAACCAGGTCCAGGGAACAGGAGGGTGTGAGGTGGAGACAGTGGAGTGGCAAAGGAGGAAAGTTTTGGAGGAGACAGACCGGAGTGCATGACACTTAGCAGGTCAAGTCCTGGCTCAGCCATTTACTTCCTGGGTGGCCTTGGACATATTATGCGTTTCTCTGAGCCTCATTCTTCATTGCTAAAGTATTACATGAAATGTTTCCCTTAGAGAGCTGCTGTAGGGAGCTGATGAACTTATGTATAGTCCCTGGCACAAAATAACTGCTCAAATAACAATCAGCAATTACAGTATTTTCTTGGTTCTATGGAAGCAGTGATTATAGATGAATCATTGATTTAATAGGCTTTTGGAGAGAAAAAAGCTGTCATATCAATGGTATGAAATTTCAGAAATGTTGAAATTTGAAAAAAGAAGTGTCTTTGAATTGAAGAAATGGACAGCAATGATGGTGATGGTGATAATGATGGCAATGATGATGATGACAGTGATGATGATTTTTGGGGGGCAGGTGATCAATAGGTAAGAGCACAGATCTGGAGCACAGAAACCCTGGTTTGGGCACGCACTAGCTGCCTGATGTTGAGATATGTAAACCATAAAAAAGGACTCAGCAAGCGGTAGCTTCCTCTCCTTGCCCACTCGGTGCCTCAGTTTCCCTTTTCACTCTCCTGTCCCATGACACCAAACTTCATGATTTTTATCTTCCTTATACATAGTTGTATTCACCTACTTTTCTACAATTTTTTAAAAAATAATCAAATTGTTTTGATAATTTAGGAAAATTTCTTCTAGAAAATTATAAAGAAAAAATCATCCTATTTCATTCCTGCCCCCTGAAGATGGCTCTTTACTATTTTATTGGATTCCCTTCTATGGTATTATTCTGAGTATAAGGTTTTGTTGTTGTCGAACTCATAATCATCCTGTAATTTCAATTTTGTATCCTATTCCCCTCCCGGTTATTACCATCTCTCCCTAAATAGAATTTTAATGACCATAATATTTTTCATCATGTGTCTGGAATTGGTTGACTTAATCATTTCTATATTTGAATGCTAAGTAGTTTCCAAGTTTTCACTGGTGTTGATGACATAGGGATGAACAATTTTCTGCAAATATTTATTTTATATTTCTGACATCATGAGGAAACAATCCTGGGTGTAGAAATATTGGGTAAAAGTTGGGACATGTTTTCAGTTCTTGGGTGCCAACATGTTTTTCAAGATAATTTCAACACTATATGATCTGGTAGCTATCTGAAAGGCCTGTTTCAAATGCTTGGTGTGTACACAAATGTGAATGCATGCAGAAAAACACACGTGTGCACACATGTTTAGCATTTGCCATGAGTCACCCGAGGACTAGGAACAGTGGGTCTATGCAGCCAGAGAAACAGCCCTTCAAAACCCTGCCACCCCCCCACTCAGTGTTAAAAGAACCCAAAGAGGCTGACATAGGAGCAGGTTGGCAGCGGCCATTTCTCTTTCCAATTCTGGCTCAGACACTAGGTTTTTGCCATAACTCTGGGGCTTCTCCCTTAAATAAGGCTGAAACCTTCTTTCCCCCCTCCCTACACAGGGCAAAGTCCCCAGGGTAATTCCTTAGGGCTTAAGTGATTACGTTCCCCCCTATGCTTTCTTGTCCCGGAAATTCTCTGCTGGGCTCTAGGCAGCTACCCTCACCAGGGAAATTTGCTCTCACAGAGTGCAGGAAAGTACACTGGGATGTGAGAATCAACATTAGAAGTTCTCATATTTTTAAAACTTTTTTGTGTTGAAAAATAATACATGTTCAGAAAGGTACATGCAATACAAATGTACAGTTTAATGAATTGTTCTAAAACGAACATCCATGTAACCACCACCCAGGCCAAGAAACGAAAACTGGTCAGTGCCGCAGAAGCCCACCCCTTTCCCATCCAAGTACTAACCAGGCCCAAACTTGCTTAAGCTTCTGAGATCAGACAAGATCGGGTGCTTTCAGGGTGATATGGCCGTAGACCCTACCCTTTTCAATTACACACCCTTCCATCCCTGCCAAACGTAACCATTGTCCTGCCTTTTATGGTAAGAGCTACATAAATGTTCTTCATACTTCTGTTATTTAGTTATGCATTCTTAAACACTCCAGCTTAATGCCTGCTTTTGAGTTTTCTATAAATAGAATGAAAAATATGTGTCCTCTTATATCTGACTTTTTTTGCTCAAAAATACCTTTTTAAGGTTCATCCATGTTGTTCTGTAACTTTTTTGTTGGAAAGTATTATTCCATTGTATGAATATACCACAATTTATATGATCATTCAACCAGGGGTCTGCAAGCTACTGCCCATGGGGCCAAATCCAACTGAATGCCTGTAGTTTATAAATAAAGTTTTATTAGAACACAGCCCAGCCCATTCATTTACATATTGTCTATGACTGTGTTCACTCTCCGAAGGAGAGTTGATTAGTTGTGGCAGGGAATGTATGGCCCACAGAGCCTAAATATTTACTATTTAGCCTTTTGCAGAAGAAGTTTGCTAACCCCTCCCTTCTGCAGTTGAGGTACAGTTGTTTGCCAGTTTGGGGTTATCACAATTATTTTATGCACATTTTTCCTGGTATGTAGGTGCCCAAGATTTTCTGGGGTATATACTTAAGAGCAGAATTGTTGGTTCACGTGATATATGTATGTTCAAATTTTCTAGATAATGCCAAACTGTTCCAAATTAGTTGTATTAATTTATAACCCTCACTCGTGTATAAGAGCTCTGGTTGTTTCACATCTTCTGAACACTTGTATGGTCAGACTTTTTTTTTTTTTTAACGCAACATGAGAAGTTATTAATTATTATTACTGCTGCTCTTAAGGACCTTGCAGTCTAATGGGGAAAGGCCATTGAACAATTATTGCTAGGTTTGCAGAAAATACATGTTATTTTTCCTTAAGTGTTACCTTTCCTGCCACCCTGACTCTTGTCTAACTTTGGTATTCATTTGGGAAATTACAAATACAGCTTATGTTGATCAGATCTAGTGTCTCTGGAGTTTAGATGATGGAGGGAAAGTGCTCTCAGGCAACTATGGGTAAGTTCCTCTTGAGAACGTAAGAAAAGATCACATCCTTCTTGTAGACAAAGGTGCCATTAGCTAGTTGCTCATTCTGGTTCCAGATTCCTTCCTATGTTGCCTCTGTTGCATTTATTCAGCAAGAACACCTCTGGGTTTGGCCTCTGTTTTGCTTGGAAACAGTAGAGGAAGACTCAGTTTTTAGCTTGTTTTTGTCACTACCTGTGACTAGAGGTGTTTCAAAATAAATTGACGGGTCAGATATGCCTTTACAATCTTACTCATGGTTGATAACCTCACTGTTTTACTCCAACTTTATCATGCTAAGGTGGTCAGACTTTTTAAATTTTGCCAATCTAACAGGTGTGAATTAGTATTTTGTAACTTAGTATTTACATCTCCCCGATAACTAATGAAGTCAGGCATTTTTTCGTTTGTGTTTTGGCCCTTTTATTTTCCTCTTCTGTGAATTTCTTGGTCATTTTGCCCATTTTTCATACAGTTGTCTGCTTTTTTTCTTCTTGATTTATAGGAATTCTTTATACTATTCTGTATATCAATCTTTTGTTGGTTATGTATTGCTAATACTTTTTCCCTGCCTTTGACTAATCAATTTCACTTTCTTTTTGGCCATTTTCACTCAGAAGTTTTACATTTTAGTCAAACCAACTCCTTTCCCTTGTGCTTTTTTTGTATATTATCCAAAAAAGGTTTTTCCTATTCCACTATTGATGACAATTTTCCTATAATAGTTCTAAACTTTTGTCTGTGGGAGTTAGTATATACAGCATCTTAGTCCTTTAGACAGTTCTGTGGACTGGAGCTTTATGTCCCCAATTTAAATGAGGAAAGAGGTTCAGAGAGGTCAGTGACCTGTCCGCTGTGGCACACCTGATAAAAGCCAAAATGGCGTCTGATCTAGGCCTGCCTGCCACTCTCCAGGACACAGCCTCCAGAGTCCTCCCAGAACATCAAATCTTTCCTCCTCAACTGACTGGAGACAGAACACTCTGTTCAATTCCATTGCCCTGGAGGAAGAAGTTGAAGCTCCGAAAGGGAAAGTACATTCAGTGCTTTGTCCAGGGCGGTGAAAAGCATTGTATTTTTATGGGGCAGGCGGCACCAGGATGCAGACCACAGAAGCACCCCAGTGGCCTGCTTCCAGTGGGTCTCAGAACAGCTGGCCTGAATGCCAGCCCAGGCCAGCTTCCCGGGTGGCAGGGCTGTTTTTAGGCCCCAGTCAGATGTGGCCTGGTCTTGGGGCTCCCTGGGGCTCAGCTGCAGACAACACGCCCATCGCTTTCCCACGATGGGCCTTCAAAGGTGGATGCCTTCCAAACGGTCCTCTACTTTTCCCAAAAGTGGGAGCCCTGCTTCCCAATCTGCCTGTTCCAGGCAAGAAAGCTCACAGCAAGGTGTTGGGTATGTTTCAAGGACCCACTTCATAGGTCGTAACCACTTCTGCAGGAGGATCCATTTTTGGGTGGCCATTGGGGTCATGGTCCTGAGGAGGCGGAATCTGGGTCTGTCTCTCAGTGGTACCACCGGGACACAGAGGTGAATCAGACGTGTTTCCCACCTTGGACCCCTCT